GTGCAGCTGCTTGAGGTCACAAGAGGCTTTGGAGCAGCAGCAGCAGCTGCACTGAGCTCCATCAATCACCTCACTCATCCTCCACCACAAACACAGCTTTCTGCACATCACCACGTCTGGCTTCCTGATGGAAAGGGCTTCCAGCCACACAGAGGTGGCCAACTTGTAAGAGAACACACAATTACTAATAACAATATTAAAAAAGCAGTATCACACCACCCTCTCAAACCTCCTGCTCCAATCTCTTTGAAAATCTGCCTTTCCTCCCTCCAGCCTCATATTTTTCTTTGTTTTCTGTCCACTGCATTGCTGAAGTGGTAGTTGGGACACATTCTGCCTGGCTGACATCTAAATAAATGCTCCAAGACTGCTGCTAGGTGACAACCACCATCCATGTAAGCTTATGCAGACTGATTATGGATAAAAAAATAACTAGTTAACACTTTTTATAGGCAGAAAGATAATGCCACACCACCAGCAAATACCTGGCTTACATGCTTTGCTGCTGCTGTCCCAAGAGGAGATGCAGAAAATTTATCCTTTGCATCTTCTGTGATTGTTCTCCTTTCCCTGCTTTTTACACAACTTGGGTTATTTTCCTGCAAATACTTTACTATCACATGTAGGACTTGTGTTAAAAAAACAAAAACAAACATAAAAGGCAATTTATATTCAAATGAGAACATGGCAGAGAACCAAAATCAAAATATTCCCAAAATAAATACATGGATTGTTTAGACTAGAACATGTGCTTGGTTTGTGCCATTTGTTTCAGCCCTGTTTATGCTTGTTTAACACATTTTCAGATCTGTTTACTCTAAGGCACAGTCCAACACAAACGTGGAAATCAAAGAAGGAGAAAAAGGCATGGAGCAACTGCAATCATTTGAAAATGACCAGTGCTAAAAAACCAGCACAGCTAATTAGCTAATTACTGCCATGGCTCAGGGATGCCCTGCCAGCTGGGAGTGGGAGAGAGAGCACACATGGAGGAGAGCCTGGCTCAGGGACACCTGGCTCAGGGACACCTGGCTCTGGGACACCTGGCTCTGGGACACCTGGCTCTGGGGACACCTGGCTCTGGTGGCTCTGGGGACACCTGGCTCTGGGACACCTGGCTCTGGGGACACCTGGCTCTGGCTGTGGGGACACCTGGCTCTGGGGACACCTGGCTCCTGGGGACACCTGGCTCCTGGGGACACCTGGCTCCTGGGACACCTGGCTCTGGGAACACCTGGATCCTGGGACACCTGGCTCCTGGGGACACCTGGCTCGGGGACACCTGGCTCGGGGACACCTGGCTCTGGGGACACCTGGCTCCTGGGGACACCTGGCTCTGGTGGCTCTGGGACACCTGGCTCTGGGGACACCTGGCTCTGGGGACACCTGGCTCCAGGGACACCTGGATCCTGGGGACACCTGGATCTAGGGACACCTGGATCTAGGGACACCTGGCTCTGGGGACACCTGGATCCTGGGACACCTGGCTCCTGAGGACACCTGGCTCCTGAGGACACCTGGCTCAGGGACACCTGGCTCCTGGGACACCTGGCCCCCAGGGACACCTGGCCCCCAGGGACACCTCCTGGGGACACCTGGCTCTGAGACACCTGGATCCTGGGACACCTGGCTCCTGGGGACACCTGGCTCTGGGGACACCTGGCTCTGGGGACACCTGGCTCCTGAGGACACCTGGCTCTGGGGACACCTGGATCCTGGGACACCTGGCTCCTGAGGACACCTGGCTCTGGGGACACCTGGCTCTGGGGACACCTGGCTCCTGGGGACACCTGGCTCTGGGGACACCTGGCTCCTGAGGACACCTGGCTCAGGGACACCTGGCTCAGATGCCCTGGTTCCAGCTCCCAGCCCTGCTGAGTGCCAGGGCCTTTGTGCTCACTGCCTTTTGTGCAAACACTGCTGGTTGCCAATTCCTCCCTTGCACCTCAGGGAATGCAAGGCTGGGGCAAGGGAGTGACTTCTGCAATGAACTGAACCAAAACGGACCCTTCTCCCCCCACACACCTCACCAATCACTCTTAAATAATAATAAAAGGAAGTTTTTACACATGTTGAATCCAAATCCAAATAACCCACCAAGATTACAGAATAGTTCACTGACACACAGATGGGAAATTCCTGGGCACCTTTCTTCCAGTATAAAACAAACAGATAAAACAGAAACACTACCAGAATTCCTGCTAAATTACTTCTGCTTTTAATAACTGAAAGTTTCACTTTTCAACACAAAGCAGCAACAAATCCAAAGAGTTCTACCTAATGCAGAGTGACCACAAACTGCACACAAGCCCCTTTCTCATCCTCACATCACATTGGCATTCAATTTACATCGAATTAGACTTGCATTCTTTTCTTAGAGATACCATGGTGCTGTGTCTAGGGCTGAAGGATGTTCTGAAAGCTTGCTGGTAATTAAGCAGACTGGGCAGCACTCTCCTTCTGGTATTTCCAAACAGATTTCTTGTGTCAACAGACCAACTTCCCTACCAGACTTCCACCCCAGCCCCAAACTCCCAAGCTCAGCGTTACAGATTATCCCCACACATCTGTCAGCATGAAAAAATGTGTCAGCAGAATAATTTTATCTGCCAAGGGCTGCCACATCCTGGCCTGCTTTCCACAATCTCAAAACAGCTGAAAGCAGTCCCAGGGTCCTCCATGAAACATCACAAACATCTCACCACACACACAGGGCCAACAAGACTGAAGTCCAATTAAAAAAATGATGTGTTAGTCTTAATTAGTGCAACAGACATCCATGAATGCAGAGGGAAAACCAGAAGTACCTACACAGCCACCCATGCAGATGGGATTGCTCTGTGGGATGCTGAGTGCCAAACACTGCACCCTCCCTGGTCCACTGCCTGTTCTTCAGCCTCACACCCCCAGCCCCAAACAACCCAACTGCTTCCCTGCTTTCTCTGATCTGCCAGAAACAGCTAACCTACACCTCTGCCCTCTTGTTTTACCTCTAGTCTTCAAAAAAACCCACCACCTCCCTAAGAAGCATCTTACAGCAAGGCCAGAAAAGGAAATTTCAACATCTGGTACAGATTTCAGGGGGTGAATTTCCAGTGATTTTGCTTTTTTTGGATGTCACTCTCTCTTTGAAATGGTTCATTGGTTTTAAGTAACAAAATATTCACTGCTAATATGTTTGGATCAAAACATCCTGAGCCCAAATGCTGGCACAGCTCCATTCAGGTGTGGAAGTGATTTTTTTACACAGAAAAAATGGTAACACAAGGTTTCAGAACATACTTACCTCCAGCTGACCACTGCATGGAAATTAGAGATCCCACAGTTAGCTGATTTGGGGGAAAAATTCAGTGGTTTTGCTGAACTTTAGCTTTTTGCTAAACTGTAAGTTAGCATGGATATTATCACAAAAATTTACTTATTTCTGTAAGAAATTGCAGGGACTGAAAGAAAGCACAAATATTGGAAGCTTCTGTTGTGAAGGGCTAAACAGAACAGCAATCCTGTCGTGTTCATGGAGCTGCCATTCAGTGACACCTTTATAAAAGGGAGAAAATGTGTATGGGAGGAGTGAAATCTACAGAAACAGTCTGTAAATCTCACATTCTGGGTCTTCTAAAGAGCATTGCACAATCAAACATTCACACCACACAGCCTAGAATTTTTATTGCAGTGTGAGCATTTCTTCTTCTAGGGAGATAAAAAAACCAAACCAACCCAGAAAGAGTAATTCTTGCAAATCTGCAATTACATTTCTCTTCATTGCCTAAATCCAGTGCTGATGCAAACCACCTGGTTCAGGCACAGCAGTTCCTCTGGCATGCTCAGCTACTGTACCAGCCAGGAACAGTCAGACATCCAAGGATTTCTTCTTGCTTTATCTACTTTATTAAACATCAAATCAATCCCTTAGTATTTGGAAGATGATTTTTCCTGCCTGATAGTCAAAAATCACAATACAAATTCTAAAGACACTAAGAACTGGTCTACCTTAGCATCATCCACATCAAAGCAAAATTATCACCTGTATTTCACTTCCTGAGATAAAGGATATTTGCAGTAGGTGCAAATACTTCAGAAGTCATTTCAGCTTTAGCAAATTTTCTAATATTAAAAACACAAACATCACTCTCTAAAACTCTATCCCAGTCAGAAACAAAGTCTTCCTGCATATTTATCCCATTCCTTCAGTTTGACTGGGGCACTGAGGACAAATACTGACTGGGATCCTACTGAAATATTGTGCCTTTTTGAAAAGTGAACAGCTCCATCTCTTTATATTCCAAAGCCAAGTTAAACAGACAGGCATGTGCAAGAAGCATGGTTTTTTATTCTCCTTTCTTCCACAGATTTCTTTATAAAGTGCCTGGGAGGTGATGTAGCATTTCCCTGCTGCTCTCTGGCTCCTACACCCTACAGATAACAGCTCCAACAGGAGAGGTTTCTGATTACCACTTCCACCAACCAAGGAGAAGGAACAACCTCTTCACCAGAGCTGGGACAAGGGCTCTGTAAGCAGGGAGATTGCAGCTGGACACATCCTGCAGTCAGGACTGCAAGGCACAGAATGTACAGCAGGATTTCCTGAGTGTTTTGAGTACTAAAGCAGCTTCAAGGCACAGCTACTGAAATTAGCACAGGCATGAGCAAGCAGATCAGCTCCCCAAGTCTGACTTCTTTTCCTAAAAGGATTCTAAACAGAGTTCTTAATCTCTGCAGGTAAAAATGGAGCAGAAAAACTGCTGTATGCTGCACTGAACAAAAAAATGCCAAACCAGGAGAACTGAGATGTACAAGATCTAGTTCTTACTGCCAGGAGGATTCCAAAAATGGAACCATTGTACAGATGCATCTTCCCCTAAGCAGGAGGAGAATAAAGGACAGATTTCAGATTTCAAGTGCAAGGCTTTAAGACACAGCAATGGCTGTTATTAATGATTCCAACAAAAATATCAGGACAGCAAACTTGCTAGGCAAACAGGAATTTCTAAGCAGCTTACCTCAATGGACCATAATTCAACATTATAAAGGCCAGTATCACCATCACACACAGTGTTCTTCTCTTTGGAGATGATACTTTGAGCTTCTGGTTCTAGAGAGAGAACAGAAGACACTGAGTAAAAGAGGGGTGCACATATGTCAGAAGCCAAGTACACTAAATTATATTTGCTTTTTTGATTTATACTTGCCTAATTACGTGTGAATACATTCCTGAACTATTTAAAAATAAAACTTTGGTTTATACATTATATTCCACTTTTATCCAGTGAAATATTCAGAAGAACCATGAAGTAAAGAATTAAAAGTCTACCAGATAATGTGTCAGAGTTGGTGAAAGTCTTGCTTGGAATGGGATGCTGGGCTAGAAATCTTCAAAGGTCCTTCAGTCAACATCTCCCCATCTCTGTTAAGTGCCTTCCACTTAAACAACTGTTTTCATACGAAATCAGAGTTTCATCACAATCCCTTACCTCTAATACCACTTCATCCAGCTGCCTCTTCAGCGTGCTGTTTTCTTTCTTGAGTTTCTCATTCTCCAGCAGGGCTGCCTCCAGCCTGGCCTCCAGTCCCAACATGTATTCCTTCTTTTTCTTGCGTGACTGGAAGGCTGACTCCCGGTTTTTGATCATGCGCTGCTGCCGCCTCAGGACGTTGACCTGAACACACAAAACACAGGCTGTCAACAGCCCTCCAGTTAAACCTGCCTCTGTTCCGTGCAGAATCTCTGCTTTGGCAAAGGCCTGCACAGAGAGCTTCCCACACTGTGCTTCCAGTGAGCTGGAATGCTCAGCACAGAGGCACCTCGGGATCACGGTACACCTGAGGGAAAACAGGTCCTGCACTGCCTCAGTTTCCCTCTGTATTCTCAATATTCTGTATGCAGGGGCCATCAAACACACTCGAGTTTGATTTGATCAATCAAATCACCAAGAGAGAAAATACCTCTCTTCAGGTCTGCAAGGCACCAAGAATGCCTTTCACCTTGACTCCTCCCTGCACCATTTTACAGGCTACAGTCTGCTTTCCTAACAGGAAATTTCTAGGGTTTTCCAGCCCGTTCTGTCTGGAAGTTATTTCCACACTGATTGCACATTTCTGTACCTCTTCCACCTATGCTACACAGCTTTTGAGGTTTTGAATAGTGCTGCTAACCTCAGATTGCACATTCTGTGTGTATCAAGCACTCACACAGCAGTTTAAATGCAGTCTCTGGGTGCATCTACCCTAACATCCTAATTCAGCTCAGGAGGGTGGCTCAGTTTCCTGACTGCCCCACTAAATGTGCTTCACTTCACATCACAGAGCAGTCTCTGAGAGCACACAAACTGGATTCCTTCGGGGTGAAGCTCAACCAGCACACCAGTTATGTACTCCAGGAGAGCACATAACTCACTCTAACCACCAGCAGGCATTCAGTCTGCAAGACCAGACTGGGACAGCTCAAAGCAACCCCTCCCCATCCTCCAGCAGTCCTGACTGATTTTTTTCCCAAGCAGGAACACTCCATCATCTTTTACCACTTACTCATTTTGTGGTTTGCACTGAGTGGGACAACCCAGACCGAAATCATCTTGCTGCTGACAAGGATAAACAATGATGGATACTGCAGAACTACACAAAACTACTTGAAATCCTAAGTTTTAACACTGAATATTTCAGTACCTACCACCACAGGCACTGCTGTAATCTGTATCTCTCAGAGAAGGAATATTAAAGAAGAAAAGGTAAGAACTATTCCAGAAGTATTATTTTGGAGAAGCAGTATAATCACAGAATAGTAACATTAACTAACCCAGATTTTGAGTCTGGCTATGTAAAGAACCTTACCCACAGCTCTTCAGCTCTCTCCCTGTATCTACCTGCACACAGTATGCTGTTCTAGGGCACTGGTGTTTTTAACAAAAAGTGGCCACAAGCTGTTTGAAGACATCATTCTTCATGATGCTGCAGCTGGGTGACAAAGATGAAGAAAACACATTACAGTGCATTAACGTTCTGGGTTGCCTCCATGTTGGTCTAATTGCTTTTATAAAGATCATTTATTAAATGTCTAGTCTGCTGCCACCAACAAAAGTCTGTGAAAGTGAAGCTGTTTGTACTTACTCCAGTTACTCTCTTTAGAGTGGAGAAGGAAAAGATTTTAACGTATTTTCATTAACACTAAGCTTTGTCTTGAATTTTTTAAGTACTACAACATTTAACATAAAAAAGCTTCTGCAGACATATAAAAACTGGACAAAAAAAAAAGATTCAGGCTAGCCAAGAGCTGCAGTGTATAGAACACACCAGTTTGGGGCCAGGATCACTTAAACTGTTCAGAGATGAAAAAACAAGGAATGAGTTCATGCAGCAGCTTTGGCTCAAGTTGTGAACTCCAAACAAGGAGTTACATTCCCCTTTTCAAAAAGAGGAACTCAGAGAAGACCAAATTGTTTACATCCATTCTTGTCTGCAGACCTGCTCAGGATTATTCATTACTGGACAGCTTTTAATCACATGTCTGGAACCTCTGGCAAATGTAGATGCTTCCCTGAAGGAAATAAGGTGTTAGAGCACCAGTGCAGTGACTCTGCACTGGGAGCACATCCTAAGGTACATCTGCCACTTGTTTCAGACACTGCCATCTACATTTTGTGTGTCATTTTTTATCCAGATTGCTCTACTTTACTCACAGTTCTCCAGATGCTGGGAGGAACATGAGCTCTCCCCAGCCTGATTCCAGGTACTCTGTGGAGTACCTGCATTTCAGCCCATGCCACACCAACTACTTTCTGACTCATTTTTAAACCTTGCTTAAACAAAATCCAGTACTTGTGTCCTTAAGATATTCTGTTTTAATTTACAATCTGTAAACAGCTTCAGGTCCTCCTTGGTCAGCCTTCCAGCTCTTGCCTGGCTTATCTTAGGGACTCTGCCACAACTGCACACCCAATCCAATCCCACCTAGAAGTGATGCAGGAAATGGGAAGAGCTGGGTGAGTGAAGTGGAATGGGAATGCTGAACCTGGAAGCAGTATGGCAATCAGCATTACACAGCTGGCCCAGCCCCAAGGCAAACATGCCCCCTGCTCCAGCACTTTGACACACAGGAGGGAGAGGAACCCATTGACAATGTCACTCTGATACTCAGGAGGGAGAGGAGCCCATTTACAATGTCACTCTGATACTCAGGAGGGAGAGGAACCCATTTACAATGTCACTCTGATACTCAGGAGGGAGAGGAACTCATTGACAATGTCACTCTTTGATACTCAGGAGGGAGAGGAACCCATTGACAATGTCACTCTTTGATACTCAGGAGGGAGAGGAACCCATTGACAATGTCACTCTGATACTCAGGAGGGAGAGGAACCCATTGACAATGTCACTCTGATACTCAGGAGGGAGAGGAACTCATTGACAATGTCACTTTTGATACTCAGGAGGGAGAGGAACCCATTGACAATGTCACTCTGATACTCAGGAGGGAGAGGAACCCATTGACAATGTCACTTTTGATACTCAGGAGGGAGAGGAACCCATTGACAATGTCACTCTGCTTCAGCAGCATTGCTTTGCACAAGTGCTGAACCAAGATTAAAGGTAGCAAGTGCCTGCTAACTTCTTTTGCAGCCTCCAACTTTTAAAGTTGTATTGTATTGATCTTCCACTCAAGATAGCATCTTCTGGTTCTAAGGAAACACAGACCACAGAGGGAGAACATTGGCCTTAAAAACAATCAGAAATCAGTGATGCAACTTCTGCTTTTCTGGCTTTGAAAACCAGACCACCACTAGTGGAGATATACACAAAAATGCTGTAAATATGGAGAACTGGAAGGTTCATTGCAAACCTTCAAACATCACTTCAAACAGCATTAACCAGATTCAGATTGTCCTTTATCTTCAGAGGTTTTACAAAGAGTCATGCACTTTACAAATAAACATTGCTACCTCAATTTACTTCCAAAGAAAACTCAATTATGAGCAAAATTTAACCTCCCTTCCAACACAAGCTGTACCTCTAGAAGTAAGATTGTTTCTCATACTCCAGAGAGTTTTTCTGTACACTGCTGGGAAGGTTAACAAAATGCTGAAAGTACAAACCATTCAGTGTAGCATTAGCTGCTTCCCACCTCAGCTTATGAAAGCTGCTGTCTTTGAAGACACATCTTTGACTGCAGGAATACAAAACCTATGCAAGGTATTTTTGTTCTTATGGAAGTTCAGGGTTTTCCTGTCTCTAACTCAACAGAACACAGCTTGCTTAATGTGTTTATGTTACACAAATATTGCACAATGTACAGCACAGAAACAAGGATTCTCAACAGAAATCCACACTTATGCTGCAGTTATTTTGCATAATGAATCTTTTCTAGATTTGCAGTATTCTGGCACTTCCCCATGGCTGGCAGGCTGCACATGTGTGCCACCAGGCTACCCAGGGCCTCAGCCCTGCCATCAGCTCACCCTGCTGTAATCCACTGGCAGGCTGAGTGTAAAGCTACCAGTTTATCCCTCCTAAACCCAAAAGAAAGTCCTGCAGTGTTTCTTTTTATCCTGCAACATCTGCTGAGATTAGCAAACAATAACAGGTGTTCCAGAGCTCAAATGACAGCTCCATCTGTGCAGGCCTGAGCTCCACATGCAGTGTCCAAGGCGATGCTTTAACCCTGCTGGCCCCAGCTGAATCCCAAAACATTTGTTTTTCCTCAAAGCACTGTTTCACAATAGGTGCCAAAGAGCAGCTGCAACTGTTTTCCCATGTAACAAGCACAGGTAAGATGTGCAGCACTTCACAACTCTACAAACTGCTTCCCTCAAAGGGGGAAATGCCCACACAGCCACCCTTGGAAACAAACAGCTGTTTGCTACCCCAGCTACACATCTGACTCCTGATGTCATGGGTGTGTAGATGCAGTATGATGACAAAAAGGGGCTTTTGTCAATTAAACCTTACATTCAGGCAATGGCAAGGTGCCATGCTAGCCCTGCTTACAGGGGGTCACAAATCCAATGACTGCAGCTCACTGATCTCTGGAGTTAACTCTGCATGACAGGGAATTATCACTAAAAAATGCAGCACACTTAACTGCTCTGCCCACTGAGAGACCCTTGTTTGCTCCTTGCACACTGAATATCAAGTTTCCACTGCACTCTGGCTGCTCAACTATTTGCAGCACAATATTTTCATTATAAAATGCAGCCCACACACAAATATGATTAGTGAGGACAAGTTACCATCAAGCCTGAGTGGCAACCCCAGACACAAGGAAACCACACAGCATCATCCCTCCACAGGAGCTGAAGGAACAGGCTCCCACTGCTTTTGGGAAACAGTCACCTGCACTGCTAAGGAGCAGGTGCCTATACAGCAAAATCCCATGTGTTTCCACCAGTGTTTCCTCCCTTACACTGAGATGTGATAGGATCCTCAGCTCACAACTGGGCTTGGAATACCTCCTGGGGGAGTGACAGAGTCTGGAAGTCACCAACAAGAAGCTTTGGTCCTTTCCTCAAGCATGTCTTCTTTGGACAATAAAACACAATCAGAGCAGCTCCAAGTTACTAGGAGCTAAATCAAGTTAACAGCCAGCTGGCTAGCTGGTTAAGATGTCAAAGCTGAAGGGGAAAAAAAAGCCCACACACATCTCAAAAGCTACTGTTTACACTTACTGCTTACTGTGAGCTACTATGGAAAAACTTTCTTATTTGCACTGTAATTGTTGAGAGCTTAACCCTCTTCTACACATTCACTACATCATCAAAAGGGAGCCTGAAGAGATTAGGCTCATATGGAGCTCAGTAACTAAAGTTTCTAAAAATCATGAGTAAAATCTGGAGATCAATGGCTATGGAAAAAGAATGAGGCACTGAAATTTCCAATTCATCTGCCTCCAAAGAAAATGTTTTTATTACATGGATTAGAAAAGTGATTTAGCACTTATCAAAAATCAGATATATCCAATCTTCCTGGAAGTGAGGTCAGCCACTGAGAGGTTGCAGTTGAGAAGACAAGGGGCAGAAAACACCTATCAGCACTGTCTTCTGCCACTACACTTGCACACCTGGCCTGCAGCTCGGGGCAGGCCAGCAGATCCTGAGCTGCTCCTCCCTGCTCTGTGCCAAGCTGCTAAACTCCCTGTTTACAGCTGGAAATCCTATGAAGAGTTTTCCTGAGACTCTGAAGGGACCATCAGCCCCACATGCAGGCTACAGAGATGTGCACAGCCTTGGCCAGCAGCTCTCAGAGTCAGAACTCACGTCCAGCCCCGCGGCCGGGGCGCTGCTCTGGAGCAGGGGCTTCGTCACCGGGATTTTGCCGCTGCCGGAGCCGCTCCCAGCAGCTGGAGACAGCACATTCACCGTGTGGTTCTGAAGTGCTGGGGCCCCTCCTGCCACTGCAATGACTGGCTGGGAGGCAGGAAGCACCCCTGAAGCCTGGAGCTGTACCACAGCAGGCTGGGGCAGCACCACGGATGGACCTGGAACACAAGAACAGCAGCGCTCAGCAAGGATGAAATGCATTTGTACATCACCACTTTGTAGGGGCATACTGCTATCCCCTCCTGCCCTGCACACCTGATCTCAAACCCATCAGTATATCCCACACAACAGGAATGGAAAGAAGCTGTTCCAAAGTTCACAGGACTCTTAATCCACCCTGCAAACTAAAACTACAGACATTACAGGAATCCAATAAACCGAGCTCTGCCCCAAAAGCTCTTCAAAGTTAATAAAATTCAACACTTGTTATATACATTACTCAGAATTGCTAATACTTGAAGCACTCTGAACCTTTTCAAAGAATTTAGCCAGCTTACCTCAATCCTCCTTCTCCCTTTTTTCTCTAACTACTGCTGCATTCAATAGGAAACTTACTACACAGAAGTGACTCGTGCCACATTGATCAATTCAAACTAGCAGAGAAGGAAGATAACAAAAAGGAACAATGCAAGCTACACTTTCAAAACTTACACTGAAGCTTCAATTCACACCAAGACCATTGTTTTAGAAAAACATCTTATGCAAGGAAGTTTATACACAAACTGAACGGAGCTTAAAGAAAAGCCGGCAAAGTGAGGTAATTTTGACAGAGTTTGAAATGGAATTAAAAACAGCCACTTCCAAGAAATTTCAGTCCAACAACTGCATTTGACTCAAGCAGGTGCTTGAGTAATATTCTGTTGTCTGAAAACACATTAATGTCTCTCTAATCCTTTGTAACAGGATGACCTTGCCAGCTCTCAGAAAGAGCACATTCCAGCTGAGCATTCCAACCAAAAGGCACGACAATGGATTACAGCATTTATCCAGCCTTCTGGAAGGTGGAAAGTGAAGCAATTTACCTCGTGCCAAGATCTTATGTATGGGGTAAAACTAGAGCTTTGGTTTTTTTATATTTTTTTAGACACCATCTTGAAGACATCAAAACTTAGTATGATCCTGTTTAAGAGTCTTAAATGATGAAGTTGAGACTATTTCAATTTTTTTCCTAATGTAGAAAAGAGATGATGCTCTATGACCATGCTTTCTCCTTCAAGCTTTTATAAAAGGGGCTGTGAAAATAAAATTTCTCATCCTTCTTGGAAGAGAATGGCATATTTCAAACTGGTGGTTCCAACTTGTCATATGCAGGGGATTTAGAGTGATGAAAAAGATCCTTATGGTTTTTGTTATGGAAGCTGCACAGAGAATTTTTAAACATACCATCAGTTAAAGGGAAGCATGGACATACTTTTTCAAAAGTATTTCCTCTGTATTGTCTCACAGAAACTACTGTCCTGACTTCTCTTCAGGGAAAAAGAGAAGCTGATCTGCAGAGCACTAGACTTATATCCAAAGAAATCCATATCCCCAGCATTCCTTATTCCAGATGGTACTTTAGCAGCTGGAGCATCAGAAGGAATAAGAATTAGGTCACGCTGACTGTGCTGACCTGTGTTTTAAGCAGTCTAGCAATCCTAGGCATGTTGTAACAAATGTCAGCATCTCCAGATTAGGCTGAACCCCTGATGCAAGAGAAATCAGCAATGGAGACAAGTTTTTCCCAACTGCAATAATTTCTAGATACATGCCCTTAAGAATTTGTCTCCTTTTCCTTGCTCAGGGCCAGTGCAATCAGCTGCAAGGGACTGTGGCCATCAGCTGGTGGAACGAGCAACTGCAGCTGGCAATTCCTGCAAGGCAAGCAGTGTTCCTGCTGCCCAGGCTGGAGAGAGAAACAATGCTCTGGATCCAGAAATGAAAGCTCAAGCTGCTTCAAAAGCCAGTAACAGGGTAACTGCAGGAATGAAGAATTATCACCGGGCAGGAAGTCACTTTCCTCTTGTTAGCATCAGCAGCTTTTCTAACCTCTGACACAGCTCTCCATTTTTAGCAGATTTCACAACATTCTATTTGATGCTGCTTAGTGAGCTACAAAGCCATAAACTCATGTTCCCACCATCCTGTGGAAGAGTTTTGTGTGGGTAAAAAAAGGCTTATATCACTTCTCCCAAGCTTTCCAGCTTCATCCCAACTGATTCTGCTGGATCTCCCTTCAGTTATGACAGAACAGCACTGTAATCACCTTATGCACCACCTGACACTGCAAGCAGAGCAGAGCAAAGCATCCCTACAGACCCTTCCAAATCAGCACTTTTATCTCCACAGCTGCCAGTGCTCAGCACAGCCTCTGTCCTCCAATCCAAACAATTATATAATCCAGCCTTCCATTCTAAACAATGCCCATGTGAGTGCTGCTCCTCACAGGACAGTACAAGAGGAGCAAGGCCATCTTCTCAGCCCAAAGATTTTCCAGCAATGCACGTAGGGCCCTTTTTTCTATTCCTCCTCTTTCATACACCAAAGCTAACTTCATTCTATCAGCCATCCCAAACAGACAATGCTGTCACTGTCTCACCATGCCTGGCCCAGCCAAGACCATTCCCTTACCTTTAGGAGGTGCTGGCTGGATGTTAACAACTGGCTGATTCTTTGGCAGGGGCACAAGCGTGGGAAGAGTCTGGATAATGATGGTTTTAGCTGGGATGCCAATGTTAGCCTGAGCTTCAGGCACAGCAGGCAAAAGGGGTTTGGGCTGTATCAAAGGCCTGGACACTGTCTGACCACACCTCTTCAGGCTCCTCGCAGAGTTATTTGCTAGAAAAGGAAAAAGAGTCAGAATTGGACCAAGAGGCATAAAATATATAATGCAAGCAATAATGAAGTGGCTTTTAATGTGGTTTTTTTTACCCATCTGTAATATTTGTTAAAAATAAACACATCTGATTAAATATGCAAGTCATAAATGATAGGACCTTAGTGTCTGTTAGTTAATAATTTGGATGCAAGACACCACACATTATCTATAGGATGAAAGTAACCTTCCCTCTCATACCAGATCGAGAAGAGATGCTCACAGCAGGCTTCTTCCCCCCATCTCCTTCTGGGGATGCAGGGCTTTTGCAGCTCTTGCTGTAGAGAGAGATGGGAGACATCTGGGAGCTACAGCTGAAGTCCACATCATCCTGCAGACAGAAAGCACAGGAGATTAATGCTTCAGAAGCTCAGAGCAGTAGTACCAGCAGTAGTACCAGCAGTTCAGAGTACATCTGCTTTTCATCACATCTGTGTTGCTGCTGCAGCCAACAGGAGAAAGGTTTTACTCTGCAATTTGATTCCGGCCAATGCCAGGTACCACTAAAAAAACAACCCAACAAGTATTTCTCCCCATCAGCAGAGCAATGGGAGGCAAAGGCCAACACCTGCTAGACCCAGAAGCCTTTAGAAGGCACTTTGGCAACAAACCTAATGAACATAGCTGAGGAAAGAGAGCTGAACATGCTCTTATTCAAATGGGTCACAGAGAAGAGGTAAGAAAACACCACTGAGAGGATTTTGCAAGGGTTGGGTAAATAAGCTCTTTCTTCTTATGCCATGAATTTGGTGAGAGGAGTAAAGCACAGGGTTTTTTGTTTGTCAGAGCTGTTGCTGTGTGTGTTACATGTGGCTTTGCATACAGGCACGTTCTGCACTGGAGAGTCCACAGACGGTGGCGAGGGGACCGAGCAGCTGGAAGCGCCTGGTGACAAAGGTTCTGTCTTCACGTTGGCATCTGCAAGAGGCAGGTAAAGACATTTCACTGCACAGGCTTTTAGCAACAGGAAGAGTAAAGAACACACTGTCCTACACCAGATATTCAATTCCCAAAGCAAGGCACAGCAGAAAATGTAGGGGGATTAAAGTTATGAAATAGCATGGCTTGTAGGTTGTTGCCAGCTGCACCCATCCTACAGAAACACAGCCTAATTCTCATCACAGAGCAAAAGGCTGCAGGGCACCAAGCAGCTCCACATGAGTTTTAAGAGCTCACCCTTGTGGGGAAGGAGGGGAAGAGTAGCACCTGCAAAATACAGAAGGTTTATTACCTGCATAAGCATGGCCTGTAATATTCCAGAGGTCCGAGTCCCAGGACATCAAATCCAAATCAAAATGGAAGTTATAGAGATCATTTTCCTGAAATGACATTCAGAAAAAGAGACAAATACAGAAAAATACATTGACACCACCAGCCATTGTGTTCACATTCTTACAGCTCCAGAAAAGGAAACAAACAACATATTATCAATTATCACTTAAGGTGCCTTAAGGTATGCAGAGATGAAAGTCCTTAAAGGAGAAATTCTCAACTGAAACACACAAAACAAAGCTTCTTTTTAACTTACACCAGTAGGAAGGGGCAGGTCAGTTTAAGACCATCACTAATTATGACATTCTTATTTGCAATTTGTGAAGCAAAAGTTCTAAATTCAGTCATTGAACCATCTCACACAAAACACAAGTTGCAGGAACCTGCTGCCATCCTTCATCTGCCTTGAAAAATTTATTTAATGCTCTTCCACCCTTACATCTCAAAGCAGTTTACAAACCAAAGCAGCACCAGGGACAATTTACCAGCAGGAAAACAGACACAAGATTGACTTGCTCAAAACCTGACTAATAGTGTGTGTTAAGTCTCCCTGTACTTAATTTAAACACTGATGTCAACATCTAAAGCCAAAGACATTGGTTTGCTTTTCCAACAAAAACCAAAACAAACAGCCTAAAATCACTCCATACATATTACTTATCATACAACCTTTAAAACAACAATTGGGGGTTTTCTCCACTTATTCTGCTTGTGCATCTCTAAGTCTCATGCCCCTGTGGCCCTTCATGAGCACTTGCATGAAAAATACAAACATGACCTATCCAGCTTATACAAATACACAAAGATTTTTCTAAAAACTACACTGCAATTTTACCTTCCCTTATGCTCCCATTCGCCTTGTGAAGGGAGGCTCAAAAACACCGCAAACTAGATTGTAGTACTGGATTATCTAGTACTGCATAGATAAGGGTATTTACAAGTTAGAATGAAAAGAAAGCTCAACACAGTACATTTAAAGGAAGAATGACCAAAAAAGCACAACTGAGCCGTGCATTAAGAGTCTTCAGCCAGGCAGGAGCTGCTGCTGGGGGATGCCTGTCCCTTGTACAGCCGGTCTGTTCCCAAATGTGACGGGCTGTACGGCTGTAGGAACACCCCAACAACCCGGGCTTCACCCTGCCTGTAACCCCGCTCCTGCCGGATCACACAGCCAGCAGGGACGCGGCAGGGCCGGGGAGGAGAATCCACGAGGGAAGAAGCACACGGACAAGGGGACAGCGAAAAAGATACGGGTTAACGCATAAGGTCGCAAGCAAAGGTTTTTGGAGGAAATCCTACGCTACAGGAGAAAAGGAGCAGCAATCTAAGAGGCCAAGGGATGAAGAATGGCCCGGCTGGGTGTAGGTGTAACACAGCCACCCTTCCCTCAGCACGCTGCCCGCTCCCTGCCCTGCTCTGCCCCGCTCTGCCCCGCTCTGCCCCGCTCCCTGCCCGCTCTGCCCCGCTCCCTGCCCTGCTCTGCCCGCTCTGCCCCGCTCCCTGCCCGCTCTGCCCCGCTCCCTGCCCGCTCCCTGCCCTGCTCTGCCCGCTCT